CGTGCAACGGGCATCATCCAGCGAGCTATTCCCCCCAGAATAGGCTAAATAGGAGTACAACACATGCGTGTGCGTGTGCGTGTGCGTGTGCGTGTGCGTGTGCGCGCGTGTGTGTATGTGTGTGTGTGTGTGTGTGTGTGTGTGTGTGTGTGTGTGTGTATGTGTGTATGTGTGTATGTGTGGGTATGTGTGTATGTGTGTGTATGTGTGCGTACGTGGTGAATGTTCTGTGTGCGCTCGCGTGTGTGTATGCGTGCGTGTTTGTGTGCGTGTGCGCGCGCGGGTGCGTGCGTGCGCGCGAGTGTGTGTGTGTGTGTGTGTTTAGTGAGCGCGTTGACAGTTTTACTCTACTTAAAAATATCGTACCTTAAAAACATACCGTGAGTTGTTGTTCTCAGCTTCTATTCGGTACTTAACCAGTGATCTGATCTGGTTATGTGTATGGTTACGCGTATGTGTACGTGCGTTTGCGTGCGTGCGTGTGTGCGTGCGTTTGCGTGTGAGTGTAAGTGTAAGTGTGTGTGTGCGTGTGTACATGCGTGTGCGTGTGAGTGTAAGTGTGTGTGTGTGTGTGAGAGAGAGAGAGTGTGTGTGCGTGTGTATGTGCGCGTGCGCGTATGTGTACGTGCGTTTGCGTGCGTGCGTGTGTGCGTGCGTTTGCGTGTGAGTGTGCGTGTGCGTGTGCGTGTGCGTGTGCGTGTGCGTGTGCGTGTGTGTGTGTGTGTGCATGCGGGTATGTGTGTATGCGTGTATGTGTGTATGTGTGTATGCGTGTATGTGTGTATGTGTGTATGTGTGTATGTGTGTATGTGTGTGTATGTGTGCGTACGTGGTGAATGTTCTGTGTGCGCGCACGTGTGTGTGTGCATGTTTGTGTGTGTGTGTGCGTGTGCATGCGTGCGCGCGAGTATGTGTGTTTAGTGTTAGGGTTGACAGTTTTACTCTACTTAAAAAATATCGTGAGTTGTTGTCCTCAGCTTCTATTCGGTACTTAACCAGTGACGCGTCAGGAAATCTGCGTTCAGCCACGGCGCTCTGAAATAACAAAATGATGAATGGAACGACTAACAGTATAATGTAAAAACGCAAGAATGAAGAGTAAGACAAAGCATCATGCTGGAAGACCCGTCAGCCTAAAAATAAAAAACACAATTAGTACAAGCCTACAACACACTGTGATGTGACTTACATATTATATCTGACCTGGTTAAGTCACGATTCACACACAGAAAGTCTGTCAGACTATAGTACCCGTGCCTATGTGTACGTGTACGTTCGTTTTCGTGCGTGCGTGCGTGCGTGTGCATGCATGTATAGCATGACTGTGTGTCAGAGTTTGTGATGGTTTGTTTAGCTGTGTGAGTCGCTTTTCTGTCCGCGTGTTCGCTTGTCCGTCTGTCCATCCATCCGTCTGTCCGTCTGTCCGTCTGTCCGTCTATACATCCGCCCGTCGGTCTGCTCGCCCATTAGTTCATCTGTCCGTCTGAACCCTCTGTTTATTAATCCGTCCACCCACACATCTATATCCGTCGCGTGTCTCCGTCTATTCGTCTGTCCGTCTCTCCGACCCTCCATGTATCCGTATGTCGGTCTTTCCGTGTGTCCGTTTGTCGGTCTGTCCGTGTGTCCATATGTTCACCTGTCCGTTCTCCGACACTCCATGTATCCGTATGTCGGTCTCTCCGTGTGTCCGTATGTCGCTCTCTCCGTGTGTCCGTATATTCGTCCGTCCGTCTCTTCGTACATTCGCCCGTCCATTCCGTCGGTCCCTCCGTCTGTCTGTCCGTCCGTCGGTCTGTACGTCTATGTCTCCGTCCGTCCGTCCGTCCGACCTTCCGTACGTCCGTCCTTCCGTCCGTCCGTCCTTCCGTCCGTCCGTCGGATCGTCTATCCGTCCGTCTGTCTGTCTGTCCGTCGGCCCGTCTGTCCGTCTGAACCCTCCTGTTTATCAATCCATCCACCCACACATCTATCCATCCATCTATCTATATCCGTACATCCATCCGTCCGTCCGTCCGTCGGTCTGTCCGTCTGTCTCTCTGTCAGTCTGTCCCTCTGTCTCTCCGTCCGTCTGACCGTTTGTCTGGCTGTCCCTATTTCCGTGTGTGTTTGCATGTGTGTGCCTGTGTGTGCCTGTGTGTGTGTGTGTGTGTGTGTGTGTGTGTGTGTATGCGTGTGCGTGTGCGTGTGCGTGTGCATGTG